GCCCCTCCCCTCCCCGCATCCCTCGACGGCCAGGTCACGTGACTCGATCGCCACGCCCCATCCCACTGGCGGACGCTTACGTTCGAGCCATTAGCAAAATCCTGCGGAGGTGAAGTGGTACTCCGCCCGCAAAGGTGCTTTCAAGTCCGTAAAAGTTCAAAAGTCAACAGGCTACTCTTTCACAACATCACGTGACTATAAATCTGCAACATTATTTGATGAAAATTATACACAAATAGATGTTCATGAAATGTCGTCATTTTTTAGACACAAACCAATCCCTAAACATGGCGCAGCCATTAAAAAAGGAGTTCCTTAAAATGCTGTCTTTCGTTGGACCCTTGGGGAATTTTAACTTCGGCCTAGTAAGTTCAATTTGGCGGTGTGATTCAGGTATCAAATCTTCCCCCTTTCGGCGAATCGATGTCCTCCTCCGCGATTCAAGGCAATCCAACGCGATTCTTGGCGTGTAGATTCTTTGTTTTGTTTTTTTAAAATATTTTTAGATCTGTTGAATATCGTCTTTGACGATGTGTAACTCCATGTCACAGAACATTTAATCTTCCAAGTATTGTACGAGATAGGTCTCGTAAACTTAAAAAAATCGCTTCAATATTTTACAAGAATTTGATGCATTTTCCTCTTAGATAACATACAAAATGTGCCATGTTTGATTACAATGGTTGTGCATCCATTGAATTTTCCATCTGAAAAATCTAACAAAATATTTTTATACACCTGTGACTAACTGTGGAGTGTGTGAAGATAACGTTTCTACACTTGTTTGTGGACAAAAGACAATCATTTTCTGTGCCCACTTAGTGTACGTTTTTCTACGCATAGTCGTCGCTTTGGCTCATGTCACAGCGTCACTCAAGAGTGTTGTTCTTTGTGATCACTGTGTGTAACATGTCTTGAAGGGCATAAATACCACGCGCTTAGTTTTCATTTAATTACACTGTAAAAGTCCTAATAAAATGTTGTTTATATCAGATGGTGTTATCATTCAATCTTCCTTTTACCCTACCTGAACATCCTTTGTGGATTGTCCTGAACATCCTTTGTACTTTATCTGTTTTGAAAGTAAATCCCATGCTTTTGAAAGATAATAAATTATATTGCGATACTAGCTAATTACCTGGCTTTGACCTGGTGTTGAAATGTGCATTTCGTCTTGTGTTAAAAATGCCTGCTCTGAAGGCTGGTAAACAGGGAATGTATTTAATCATTTGAGAATCATCTCCCCTTTTATTATTATATACATTCTATATTTACTCGATTCATCAATAAATTTTACTTAGCCTGTCCTGCCATCAGTTGTCTAAAGGTTTTTATGTACACCTGCCTGAACCATCAAGAAACTGTTTGCATAGCATTATTTAATATTTTTACTTGAAATAAATTTGTGCTTGTACGTGAAAAATTGAAAAATATGAAAATAAACACATTTTATGCCAAAAACCTGTAAAGTATTCAAAATATGTAATGTGACTGATCACAATATGCGATTGTGAAGACAAGGAATTTATTTGAGAGAAAGGTTTGGAACCTCAAACATTGAGTATTGAACGTGATGGTGGCATTGGTTGCGGCTGACAAATGAAAACTTGACCGGGAGTGTATAGGAGGCGGACGGTTTCCATGGTATTGAAAATACAGTTCGAGATAAGAAATTAAACAAGCAGCTGAAAGTGACTCGCTCGCTGCGCAAAAAATCTTGAGCTCTTATTATGGCATGAGAATGCTTATATGCAGATCGCGTGAAACGAATAATTTAAAAATGTTCGGAGATAAATTGTTATAGACGATTGACGTGCAAACCCAAGCAGAACCTATGTACAGATATTGTGGACAATATCAAAACGACAAAGACCTTGGGCAAGATTCGTGAGTAACATAGTGCACATAGTATTAACATAGTAGTAACATCAAGTTACTTTTTGAAAATTCGTTAAAACGTGTTAAAGGACATTAAAGGACAATAACAATTATTGAGAAAATAAGAAATTTATCTTCTGCTTTGGTTGTAGTAGATTATATGTTAGATGATAATAATTTCTGGGCTTTTTATTCTGATTGTACACATGCAAAAAGTTCCTATTTCAAATTCAATATTTTGGAATAAAACATAGAGATTTAAAGTTTCTCACAAGAAATGATCAATGGCAAAATTATGAATTGAACTTTACAGATTGTCATCACGATTATGAAAGAAGAAATTGATTAGTACTCAAACTACATAATTCTCTGCAGCATTCTGATGATCTTTCTGCAGTTAAAACAATATACTAAATATATATTTTTATGTGAAAAGTAAATTTAATTTTATAAACGATGTGGTATAATAGACTGAACACTTCTGCAATACCGTAATCCAAGCCATACATATTTCAGTTAAAAACGTTCGCGAGCCGTGCGTGATCGACAGTACCGTGACCTTGGCCCCATGCCCAAAATTCTCGCCAATTTCGTAAGCAGTTAGCGTGGAGACGTGTTTAGATTACAGGGCCTCACGAAAAGTCCATCGGAGAGCAATTTTCGATCGGAAGAAATTTGTTAATATCTGATTTGCTGCCACGTTTGTCTGCGACACGACACGAAAATGGGTGTTTCTTTCCAAGAAACTATATACAAAGACATTTAGCAAAAGTTGGAAAAGTAAAACATTAATATTTATTATTATTATTATTATTATTATTATTATTAGTGCTATGAGTAGTAGTAGTAGTTTTGTCGCAGTATTTGCTAACTTGGACGCCGAAATCATACAGCTTATCTAGCAACTAGCAACTCAATTCTGCAGTTCGTTCACCAATGCAATTTTCTATAACTCTGGAGCAAAAATGTCTACTTTCAATTGTTACCAACCTTGCTTTGTTATGACTCTTGTTCATCATTCAACTATATTAGATCAAAAGGTTGTTAAGGAATTCCAGAGCTCGATAAAAGGTGCGCAGATTTACTTATTCCCCTCACGTCACAGAGTTTGTATTGTCCATTGACGTATTAATCAAAATCAAATCACAAATCAAATGAGGTCATGTAAAATTTTGTCGAAATATGTCTATCAAAGATGTAAAGTACTCGAGACGTCATTAAAAATTTGTTTTGCAAAATTAATTTCTTATAAATTTATAATGCTGCTACAAAAAATAGCATATGCAACTTGTTTATAATGTTGCTGTATTGCATTCGTACACATTTGAAAACTCGCACCTAACGTCACACGTTTCCAAAACGAGTACTCATGCAAAAGAGCTTAACATTATAAAATAATTTCTTAAACTACTATTATGGAAAAACTGCGAGCAGTATAACGACAGAGTACAAAAATAAATTCTGAGTAAAACCTTGAACATTTGTTATTCATGCACCAGAGACAAAATAAGGGTTCTAATGACTGAGGGGCGACGAAACATCCGGGGGCGATTATCCTGAGGGCTTTTTATCGCACGAGATAATTAGAACCAGTTAACGCCCGTGATTTATACTATATTTTATTGTTTACTTAATTTTAATGATTCAGATTTATTTATTTACTAATTAGCTTGTTGGTAACTTGAGTCTGTTTATCTTTTCATATTTCCCTCCATACGAAGAGCACTGTAGCATCATTCAACTGTTTTCGTATTTTCCTCTTGACCACAATCCTCTCGATCCAAGTAATAAGTTATGCAGTGTATCCCGAACTCCTTATCGAAGGCGATAATAAGCAATAACGAATCAGTAAAAAATAAACGCATTTTATGAAAGTTTTCCATTCGACTGCAAAGTAATATGCTGGCGGTAATTGTTGAAATAAATAGTAAACGAAGGTCAGTCCAAGAGTGAAAAGCTTTGCGCATTTTTCAAGATGTGATTGCGTGGAAACTAAAGGATGTATACATATAAAGGTAGAAATGTTTTCGACTTTATTTGTGTGACATACCGAAAATAATCGCAATATTTGGGGACTCTAATTATACTAGGAAGAGACAATAGATAGACGAATACTTTGTAATGTGTATCCATGGGGACGCCGGCGAGGTGAAAATAAATAACATGATGTGAGAGTAGAAGGGAGCCGTGTAGCGTCTAGATATGCGTGGCATAAAAGAATGAAAGGATTATTCATGGTGGATTTTTTTGTCGGTGAATCGAGTAAGATTATTAACAGTTCCGTGGAGTTATAAGGGACAATTGCCGGCGTTGGACGTGCGACAGGAATATTAGGACATCGGAGCGGACAAAATATGAAGCAAGAAGATCTTCGTGGCGACTTTCACTTGAGAAGATGAAGAGCACACAAAGATCGGTGACATATAGTGAATTTAAAAAATTATTTTCAATAATTTTAGAAAATATTAAGTAAAGGTAATTTGTGATTTAAAAAATACAAGCTCAATTGAATTATGTAGAGTAATTGAAATAAAATACCAAATGTTGATTGAAATGATAATTACGTGCAATTTTTTAATAGTAGATATTAAACAAAGGGAATTTACAGAAAAACTTGCCCATTCGTGCGAATGGCTCGTCAACTAATTGCGATGGCGGCGAGGTAAGTAAAATTACGAATCGAACCCCCGTGAATTGAACTAGTGGAATAAGAAGGGCATGATTTGGAACCAATAAAATCAGAAAACATTACATTTGAATTGTTCATTCAAGCACTACAAAGTCTTACGAATGTGTAGGGCCACTTCTAAATTTTAATATTCTACTAAGGCGACCTAAAAGTAGAGAAAGTATGAAACATTGTAAAAAAAAATCTTAGGCACCGATAAGTAGCAGCTGGGAAGAGGCAGGGGGAATACTGCAAAAGTAGCCTACACTAAAGAGATTAGAAAACTAACTAATGAAAGAACGTCTGGACCATTCTGTACTACCACAATTTTTCATTACAATGGGCAGCTCAGAAAAAAATACAATTACGAAACGTTGTCAATCA